TATTCTTCTTTCGATCCAAACTCTCTGCACCTTTTTGTAAAACCTTAATTCTTTCCTTAAACATTTATAACTATATTACAGTCACATGCTGTATTGTTGTGGCCCCTTTTGTCCAAGAAGAAAAAAAATTTCGTGCCTAACGTTATATCTGATAGTCATTTTTTATGCATTAAAATAAATCAATCACTGTTTGTTACATCTGTTGTGTTTTATTCTTGGAGGAATAGAAATAGATATCATGTTTCATGTAAAGTCTGACTTTCAAACTTCCTGTTTTGGACTGATCATGAACTTCATGTTCTTTCTGTAACGGAGTAACGTTATGGTGCCTTTGAGAGGGTCTCAGGGAAACCTTGAAATTATTGAGAAAATCTATTTCTAACTAAAACCCTGAAAACTGCAAAACAAAGTACATTAGAGCAAAAACATTTACATTATCATTTTCATTTAAGGAAATGTGGTGGGTATCATTTGTTAATGGAAGTACAAATGTATATAGATGCGGTCAAGACAATTTCCTGTTTTTCTGACTGACTTAGAATTAAAAACTAAATTACATATTCATCAATGAAGTACAAAAGTATAAGCTTTATTGTGAAGGCTATCCCCCCTGACAAGATTTTAGTGGATGATCCATTTTCACCAATATGGAAGGAGAATTTACAAGAAACATTAACTTTTGAATTGTTAATTATAAATGTATCAAAGAAACATTAATTTGAAAATTGGTGACTTAAATATTAATTCATGGTGGAATAAAAGTAAAATTAAATTACATAAATGGTCATTTATATGTGCTAAAAGAATGCATTCTTTGTATGAACTTAATATGGAAGCAGCTTTGAAGAATTCTCGAGTTACACTTCAGAGCATGTTGGAACTCAATATACTGTGTTTTTAGTAAACAACACATTTTCTGTCTTTATTTTCATTTTGTTTTAAGATTCTATGTAAATAAATTTGTTTCTTATAGAATATAAATAATTTCATGTCAGTTATCTGAAAGTGTGCTCAGAACTAGAATAGACTTTGTTACGTTCCACCTCTGACACTACAGAGTGATTGTCAGTGAACCAGTCGTCCATGTCGGTCTGATGCAGAAACTCACAGCTGCAACACAGCAAACTGTATGTGGTCTGACTGAGGGAGGTTTTTGTACGATGACAAATCACTGTGAGACCCACTCGTATATGCACCCATACAGTAGTAATCTCCTGCATCTTCAGCCTGAACCCCACTGATTGTCAGAGTGAATTCAGGTTCAGATCCACTGCTGCTGAAACGACTCGGAGTACCAGACTGACGGCTACTTATTTTGTAAAACAACAGTTTGGGAGCCTGTCCAGGTTTCTGAAGGTACCAACTGAGATCATCACCAACTCCTGTACTGGCTGTACAGCTCAGAGAGACCGTCTGTCCCAAGCCAACAGACTTTGATATAGGAGACTGAGTCACAGATGGACTGGCACCTGATCCTGGAGATTAAATAAAAGTTTAAATACATTTTTAAGTAATTTGTGGATGAAAATGTATTTCAGTTAGCACAGAAATGAAAATAACTTTTTATTTTAACGTTTTATTGAACATTTTCAAAGCCTAGTTTCCACAATAACAGCGAATTGGTCATAAAAGAAACTCACTACTTCTCACCTTGAAGTCCTAACAGCAGAATGGTCAGCAGTGGAGTCAGTAACATCATCATGATGATTAATCTCACTGTCAGACAGACTGCACACACTTGTCTCAGTGGTTCATCTTAAACTGGTTTAGGAGCAGTGATGCATTCAGTCATTCAAAGCACCACCTTCATAGTCAAACAAATATATGTGTTTGTTTGAGGAGAGAAAATGTTTGGTTTAAATTCTTCCCAAAAAATAATCTGTCTGCAGTTACATCAGTTTCAGGTCAAATCTGTTCTCACTGATATTCGCACAAACATATTTAATATTTATCCATAAAACTGTAACAGTCAGAGAAAGTAGTTTAATCCTCATTTGAGTAAATTTGTCACCACAAGTTAGAATTGGACAATACAATGTGTGTGTGTGGAAGTCAGCACAAATCCAAGTTTGCAAAACAATTCATTAATAATGATATTCTGGTTATTCTTGTATCTTCTACTCTGGATAAACAACCATTATATAGTATATTTTGATATTTGTATTGGATTGTATGTGTATAAGTGTGAGACATTTTTTTTTAAACAATATTCGTAGAAATATTTTCTATCACTGGTAAGAACATGTTTCCAAAGTATTCTGTTCTAAACGATCATTTCATTTGATACAGACTTTGGACATTAGGTTTATTCATATTAGTCTTTTGTTTGTTTTGTTTTTTCAATTGAGTTTGGTTTGAATTATGTTTGATTTAGGAAAGTTCTGGAAGAACAGCAACCAGGTCCAAGATATAAATGTTTTTTTATCAGGATCACAGCAGACAGCGAGCCAAAAGATCATAAAAAGTGAGAATACATAATGACCTTCCAGAGATATAGTCAATAGGAATATTCTGGCATTTACTAGTTTGGGGCCGAGTAGCTTGTCTAAATACGATGGTCTAAAAGTCTAAAGCAACATATTTTTGGCTCAGAAATAAAAGCTAATTTCTGAGTTGTTTGGGGAAGGTAGTTAAAGGTGATACAGAAAAAGACTTTCTGAATTGGGGCATCGAATAAACAACACTGTTGCAGTTAGAGGCCTGATCACTGGACTATGGTATCCAGAATCTGCTTAAGTTTAAAAATGATTTACAATTACTTTGAAAAGCAAACCAGAGATGAGAATAAAGTTTGTGCTTGGTGAGGTTACTG